GTTCAAAATTTGATCCTGTCCGAAACCCAACCGATTACCAACAAATCATATCATCCTTGAAATTGAACCTTTACAAACCAAATAACACATGAATATTACCAAACACGTTTATACACGTACGGTTGCAAATTTACAACTTAAAAGGAAATGTTGAATCAAAATACACTTAAGGTTTTCCAACCATCAAGGAGCTATACAAAAGAATATTAATCTAACTCAACTCGGCTTCAAAATCACAGTTTCCCAAAAGGTATTCATCTCCCTGTAAGGAAAACAAATGCAATAGAGTGAGCTTTCACCCAATGAGGTACCATCACCAACGTAACGAAGTTCATATAAGCACAAAGCTACTCAATCTCAATACATTCAATAATGAGGCAACTAACACACATTTTAATAAAGAATTTCAAAAGGATACGGACGGCTCTCAAGAGCCCTTTTCCTCGCTTGCCGTACTTGATCTCGCCCCGTTGACCTTCCGTCAACGCCTAAGAAGTAACCAATACTGTAGACTCCACTTTCTCCAATTTCCTTCCACCTCACATACCCCTACCGGGCCCGAACTCCAACCAGTTTAAAATGGTAATACTCGAGTATACAGAAATCAAGAGTCTCATACCCAATGATTCCATAGAAATAGTCCCCATGGCTTGTCAATCTCCTCGACCATGCCTTTGCTGGCTCGAGTCAATTGACCGCGGATGGAGTTGAGCTTAGAGTCAATAGTAAAAGTCGTTGGATACACGTCCAAACGACACTAGTTCAAGTATATTCAAGAGACATTCAATTGATACAGTAAACAGTCACATATGCCAAAGAGTGCGAGAGTGATAAAGTACACCCTCGTCTCAACCAATTTTAGCAGTATACACAAGCATTCAAATCAAAGATTGCAAGTATAACAAAGCCATGAGGTAACAATCATGTGAGTAGTACACTCACCAATCACACAAAGAGAGTTTTCACAAATTTTCACCCAACGAGTGCCTTGAGTCACCGGCACACCTAAAACATTCAAGAAAACACAATGAGACTCGAATACGAGTCATAAACCCAAACCACACATCACTAATGTAAAGCCGAAATAACTTGAAAGAAATATAAGGAACACTTGGTGCTAAAGGTTTAGATAACCCCAAAGTTACTAACACTCTAAGCAACCCAATTCCAAGAAATCATATGGCCCTAAAATTTGGACAGCATTTCCCCTTAAAATTTCAGATTTCCATCCTACAATTCATCCTTCATTTTCAACCAACACAACCACAACTACAAGTACAAGTCCTATGCCATTCAATACACCTTATTAGGGTTACAATACCCTTTAAACAAAGCCAATTCAAGAGTTCCATAATAACCCTAAAAAAGCCCCAATTCAAAACCCTAAGTCTGAAATTTTCCACACAAAGCGGAAATTTTCTGTAAATAACTACAATTAACACACCAAAGCACCACTTTAGACCATACCAAGCCATCATCCATGGCCAACCAACACTTATCATATAAAATCAGAAAAATCATGAATAAAATCAGAAATTTATCAAACTCCACTAAAAGTCATCAAATCTTCCATAAATTAACATTTTTAGCTACCACAAGTCATGAATAAACCATTATTAGAAACAAACAATGAATCTTTACACACCATACCTTGATACCTCAAGAAAGGTAGTAACTTAGGTCTCTTTCTTCCGAAACAACTCCACCAACTTCTAATATCCTACCTAGCAAAGGATTTTTAGGGAGTAAATTTGGAGTTCTATGGTTGGATTACAAGATTGAGCAAGATTTGGAAGAAATAAGTTGAAGGCTTTCTTCTTTTCTCTCCCTAAGATTTTCGACCAAGATGCTTGAAATAAAGATGATTTTTGGGTCAATTTTTGGTTATTTGGTAAAGGTGGTAAGATGGTCAAAGTCCAAGCTCCAATAAGAACGTGACACCTAGCACCCTTTTAAGTTTAAACTTATCTTCTTGTCTCTCCAATACTAATTCATATAGGTAACCTCTAATTACCTCTTAACACCTAGTAAATTAATCCCTGTATACAAAACTTAACCTAATTGGCCGAATTTTATCGCACTTACCGCACTAGTGGGTCCCACGCCCGGTATACACTCCTAATTTCTCATGAACTAATTTATACTAGAAAAATGATTTAAAAACTATTTTTACTCTTAAAAATTATCTAGAAAATTTTTCTAATAAAGAAAATATAGAAAAAACATGCAATTAAATAAAATAAAACCTAGAAAATAAGAAAATTTTTGGGTTCTCACACTTTCTCCCCCTTAAAAGAATTTCGTCCTCGAAATTTCTCACCTTGATTCACAAACAGCTCAGGGTATTTCTTTTGCATTTCTTCTTCCACCTCCTAGGTAGCCTCTTCTATCCCATGATTTTTTCACAAGATCTTCATTAAAGGAATTTGTTTGTTTCTCAGCTCGTTAACCTTTCGGTCAAGCAACTGTACAGGTTTTTCTTCGTAGGTGAGTGACTCATCTATCTCAATTTTCTCCGGTTGTAAGATGTGAGACTGGTCGGGATAATACTTCTTAAGCATCGAGACGTGGAAGACGTTGTGAATCCTGGACAGACTTGATGGTAGCTCAAGCCGATACGCTACTTTCCCAATTCTCTGGAGAATTTTAAAAGGTCCAACGGATCTCGATTGAAGTTTCTTTCCTCTATCCGCCGTGACGCTTCGTAACGGTGTGACTTTAAGAAAAACACGGTCCCCAACTTCGAACTCCAGATCTTTTCTTCGATTGTCCACATAGCTCTTTTGTCGGCTTTGAGCTGTTTGGAGTCTTTGTCGTATCAGCTTGACTTTTCTCGTGCATCCTCCATCCATGGAATAGCTGTTGGATCTAGAACCTTCATTTCGCCGACTTCCTCCCAATAGATCGGTGACCAGCACTTTCTCCCGTAAAGCGCTTCGTATGGAGCCATTTGAATTGACGAATGGTAACTGTTATTGTAAGCAAACTCTACTAAGGTCACATGTTGGCCCCAACTACCCCCGAAATCTAAAATGCAAGTCCGTAACATGTTTTCGAGGGTTTGAATGGTTCGCTCCGACTGTCCATCCATCTGGGAGTGATAAGTGGTACTAAGATTGAGTTTGGTCCCCAGGGTTTCTTGAAATTTTTGCCAAAATCTAGACACAAAACGAGAATCTCTATCCGAAACAATGCTTACAGGAACTCCATATAGCCTTACGATCTCGTCCATATACACCTGAGTCAATTTGTTCATAGAATACTTCATGTTTACCGGCAAGAAATGGGCCGATTTGGTTAACCGATCGACGATCACCCAAACGGCATCATGTCCTCGTTGCGTTCGCGGCAAACCTAAAACGAAGTCCATTGTAATGTTTTCCCACTTCCATTCGGGTATCTCAAGAGGTTGTAACAATCCAAATGGTTTTTGATGTTCCGCCTTAACTTGTTGGCAGACGAGACATTTTTGCACGTATTGACCAATTTCTTTGTTCATGTTATCCCACCAGTAGACTCTTTTTAGGTCCTAATACATCTTGCTACTACCCGGATGGATCGTATACTTGGACTGATGAGTTTCCTCTAAAATCTCCTTCTTTAACACTTCATCTTTAGGCACCACCACTCGGTTTCGGTATTTCAAAACTCCTTCAGAATTGTAGTTAAAATCTAACAATTCCCCTTTTCCCACTTTCTCTCCCCACTTCCGTACCATAGAATCTTCCTTCTGGGCTTCTCTAATCCGCTCCAGTAAAGTGGACGTTACTTTAACAGTACCAAAAATCATCTTATGACTTCCAAGACAGGGTTTCCACACACAAACCGATTCTAATAGGGCCCACTCCTTTACCATTAATCCCGCAACTTGAGCCTTTCGACTTAAGGCATCGGCCACCACATTAGCTTTTCCTGGATAGTAGTTAATGGTGCAGTCGTGGTCCTCTAGAAATTCCATCCACCGTCGCTGCCTCATATTCAATTCTTTTTGCGAGAAAAGGTATCTAAGGCTCTTATAGTCCGAGTAAACTTCGAAAGTTATTCCGTATAGATAGTGTCTCCATTTTTTTCAGAGCGAAAATAACTGCGGCTAACTCCAGGTCGTGGGTTGGGTAGTTCCGCTCGTGGGATTTTAATTTGCTAGAGGCAAAAGATATCACATTCTGGTTTTGCATTAGCACACACCCCAGACCTTCCCGCGAAACGTCGGTATAAACGGTAAAATCGTCCATTCCGTTAGGCAAAACTAGAATTGGTGCCATGGTTAATCTTTTCTTTAGCTCTCGAAAACTTGCTTCACATCTAGCATCCCACATGAAATGACCATTTTTCTTTGTCAGGTCGGTTAAAGGACCAGCAAGCTTGAAAAAGTCCTTAATAAAGCGCCTATAGTACCCAGCCAGCCCTAGAAAACTACGAATCTCCGTGGGATTTTCTGGCCTCTTCCAATCAGTCACGGACTCTACTTTCACCGGGTCAACAGTGATGCTCTCTTGGGAAATTACATGCCCTAAGAAAGAAATTTTCTCCAGCCAAAACTCGCACTTACTAAACTTGGCGTACAACTGATGCTCTCTTAAGGTTTGCAAAACGATTCTAAAATGCTTCTCATGCTCCTCCCGAGTCTTCGAGTAGACCAGAATGTCATCAATAAAAATAACTACAAATTGATCCAAGTAGGGCTTAAAACCCCTATGCATTAAATCCATGAAGGCGGCAGGGGCATTGGTCAGTCCAAAGGGCATGACCGCAAATTCATAGTTCCCATATCTCGAATTGAAGGCAGTTTTTGGTATGTGCTCCTTCCTAATCAGTAATTGATAGTATCCCTGTCGAAGGTCTAATTTCAAAACAATCACTGCTCCTTGCAATTGGTCGAACAACTCATCAATATGGGGCAGTGGATATTTATTTTTAACCGTTACATTAGTCAGCCTCCGATAGTCTATACACATCCGCAAGCCCCCATCCTTTTTCTTTACAAACAACACAAGGGCTCCCTAAGGAGACCCACTCTCTCGAATGAACCTCTGCTCCAAAAGGTCTTGTAACTGTAATTTCAATTCCTTAAGCTCAGCAGGTTCCATTCTATACGGGGTTTTAGAGATAGGTGACGTTTCTGGTAACAGATCAATTTTCAATTCTATCTCTCTCTCCGGAGGTAGGGCTACTAACTCATCAGAAAATACGTCTGGATATTCCTTCACTACGTGCAAATCATTTACTTTCAATTTATCTGTGGGGGTATTGATTAGAAAGGCTAAGAACCCTTGCGCCCTTATACTTAGCAATTTCCTAGCCCGAATACCCGATATCAAGGCAGATGAGGCTAACCTACCCCTTTTATCTAACCTTAAAGTCGCCTTCCCAGGAATGCGAAATTCTACCACCTTCTTCTTACAATCAAGTTGAGCATTATACCTGACTAACCAGTCCATGCCTAGAATTACGTCATACCCCTTAATGGATAGGCTTATCAAATCCCCTGGCAACTTCTTCTCTCCTACCCAGATTTCGCAATCTTCATAAACCATACTAGTGATCAAACGATGATCCCCCGTAGGAGTACTAACTTCCAGGTCATAGGGTAAACTAGCAGGTTTTATATCTATTCCGCACATAAAATTGGGGTTGACAAATGAATGAGTAGCACTGGGATCTACTAAGACTTTCGCAAATCGGTGGAATACAGGAATCGTACCTTCCACAACTTCAGAAGAGTCGGCGACCTGTTGTGGCTCCAGTGAATACACTCGAGCCGCTACCTTGGGTTTGGTTCCTTCCACCTTAGTCGGTTTGAAATTGGTCCTCGTCGATTGCTGGCTTCCCCTTCCATCTCGTGATAGAACCGGATAAGTGGGAAACTGGTGGTCTGCACCTCCGCAGTGCAAACACTTTCCCTCATTCTTCCAGCAATTGTCCTCCGCGTGATTTGGCTTTCTACAATACCCGCAGGGTCCGCGAGATGCAGAAGCTGAGTCTCTTTGAAAATCTCCTCTTTGGCCTCTCCCAACTTGGCCACCTCGTGAGGGGCTACCTCGTGACATTCTCGGCATCATTCCTCCTCCAGTTCCCCGTCCAAACTTGAGAGGGGTACTCTTATCCTCCTGCCCCGAACCGCTTCCAGGAAATCCTCACTTTTTCGCCTAGAAGTTTCTCACTTGTAGCCTAGCATTCTCTACTCGTTGAGCCTTCTCCACTGTATTACTGAAGGCGTTAATCTGGGCTACAGCTAGATCCTTCTGGATCTCCACGTTCAGGCCCTGGACAAAGCGCCTTATTCTTCGTTGTTCGGTCATGATGAGTTCGGGCGCAAATTTGGACAGTCTTGTGAATTGGCTCTCGTACTCGGCGACAGTCTGGGTCCCCTAGCGAAGCCGGATAAATTCGTCTTCCTTCCATTCTTAAACTATAGGAGAGAAGAATTTAGCGTTGAGCTCCCTCATGAAGTTCACCCATGTCCTGAGCGTTTGTTCTCGGTCCCATTTCTGTCTTATTACGTTCCACCAGGAACGGGCCACCCTTTCCAGTTGGAAGACAGCAAAAGTCACTTGCCTCTCCTCCGTATAGTGTAGGGCAGCAAAGATGTCTACCATCTTTTCTAGCCATCTTTTGGCTACATTCGGATCAGGCCCCCCAATGAATTTCGGTGAGGAAAACTTCTGAAACCTTTTGAGGGCCCTGTTCTCGCTTTTCACATGATTACCAGGGTTTTCAGGGTTGGAATTTGGGTTTTGACCTTGTTGCTCCACTACATTAACCAACAAGTCAGTCATTCGTTGAATGGTTGCGGCCACTTGCACATTCGGATCAACCCTAAGTTCAGGGTTTGGTTCGGACGTGGTTCCTCTAGTACCCTCTTCAGTCGTAGGTTGCCTAACTCTGCGACCACGACCACGCCTACTACGGGTGCCTTCCAGGGAGTTTAATCGATCTAGGGCAAAACGTAAATATAACATTAAAGATAACGGTAAACGTAAGGAGCCAAAGATATTCACAATCAGAACATATATATATCACACAATAGTGTCAAATAAGTCACACATTAACAGTCAGGGGAATACAAACAAAGAAATTCCATGGGATCTCAGCGTCATCAAAAGTTATATATACAAAGCTAGTCCTAACGTACAAAAACGGCTAGCTAAAGGTTCTTTCCCTGATCTACTGTCCCTATGGAATCAAAAGTAGTTCAAAAGAGTTCTAGTCTAGTTCTCTACGGAGGCCACAGACTCTCTCCCTTGGCTAGAACTAGGGGTACTCGCATCTCCAGGTGTATCGTCACTAGGAGCCTCAACTTGCGCGTTGGCGCCAATCACACCTTGGATTAGCGCCTCGCACTCGTTAATAATGTCGCTGGAACGGTCTTTAACCTCCCGGATGACATTAGTCAGACGATGGTTGACCCCCTGCAACTGCTCTCTAAGAGCATTAGTTCATTTTTGCTCCATAACTATGTCCTCTCGAAGCTCCCCTATCCAGTCTGCTTGCATCCTCATGATGTCTCTCAGCCTAAGCATCTCCGCGTGATCCCTGGCGGCGGCTCGTCTAAGCCTCCTCTGTACGTCTAGCACCGCCACGACCACATGATCGACGTAAGAGTGGTTCCGCCAATGGGTACAACGACGAGCCCGACTAGCGGTATACCAAAGTCAGATCGGACCTCCCGGCCTTTCTTGATAGTCGATAACGCGAGGGCGTCGCTGAGGCGGTTCTCCCCCGCCCTCTCCACTTGCTCCAGCCATGGCCTACAAGAATAGCAAAAGGGTTCATATCTTAGACAACGTAAGCATAATCACACTTAACGGTACCTTTACACTTCCGTCACAGGTCCTAAGGAACAAAATTCAAACTTGCCTAAGTCATTCCTAACCTAAGCTCTGATACCACCAGTGACAGCCCCACCTTCCCCTAAGGCGTACCAAAGGGGTTAGCGGATTGCCTGCTCAACTCTCGTCAGGACTACTAAGATGGTTATATACAATTGAAAATGTTCCGGAAGATATTAGCGCGCTCAAACGATTCTTAATTCGCGAAGCGAAAAATGGAAAAATCGAGCCACACATGAATAGTGCCGGCCACGTCACAATTTGGCAGGAATCTGGCCGGATTTCCAGCCAGATTCTTGGCCGGATTGGAGGCAGTGACCAACTACCCGATTCAAAAATTTCCAAGACAATCCGGCCAAGATCTGGCCGGATTCTCGGCAGGATTCCCCAGTGCCTTTCCAGCCAAAAATTTTTCTTTGGTCGTTCAAAATCTGATCTTGTCTGAAACCGAACTAATTACCAACAAATCATATCAACTTTGAAATTGAACCTTTACAAACCAAAATAACACATGAACATTACCAAACACGTTTATACACGTCTGGTTACAAATTTACAACTCAAAAGGAAATGTTGAATCAAAATACACTTAAGGTTTTCCAACCATCGAGGAGCTATACAAAAGAATATTAATCTAGCTCAACTCGGCTTCAAAATCACAGTTTCCCAAAAGGTATTCATCTCCCTGTAAGGAAAACAAATGCAATAGAGTGAGCTTTCGCCCAATGTGGTACCATCACCCATGTAACGAAGTTCATATAAGTACAAAGCTACTCAATCCCAATACATTCAATAAGTGAGGCAACTAGCACACATTTTAATAAAGATTTTCAAAAGGATACGGACGGCTCTCAAGAGCCCTTTTCCTCGCTTGCCGTACTTGATCTCGCCCCGTTGACCTTCCGTCAACGCCTAAGAAGTAACCAATACCGTAGACTCCACTTTCTCCAATTTCCTTCCACATCACATACCCTTACCGAGCCCGAACTCCAACCAGTTAAAAAATGGTAATACTCGAGTATACCGGAATCAAGAGTCTCATACCCAATGATTGCATAGAAACAGTCCCCATGGCTTGTCAATCTCCTCGACTATGCCATTGCTGGCTCGAGTCAATCGACCGCTGATGGAGTTGAGCTCAGAGTCAACAGTAAAAGTCATTGGATACACGTCCAAACGACACCAGTTCAAGTATATTCAAGAGACATTCAATTGATACAGTAAACAGTCACATAAGCCATAGAGTGCGAGAGTGATAAAGTACACTCTCGTCTCAACCAATCTTAACAGTATACACGAGCATTCAAATCATAGATTGCAAGTATAACAAAGCCATGAAATAACAATCATGTGAGTAGTACACTCACCAATCACACAAAAAGAGTTTTCACAAATTTCCACCCAACGAGCGCCTTGAGTCACTGGCACGCCCTAAAACATTCAAGAAAACACAATAAGACTCGAATACGAGTCATAAACCCAAACCACACATCACTAATGTAAAGCAGAAATAACTTGAAAGAAATATAAGGAACACTTGGTGCTAAAGGTTTATATAACCCCTGTATATCTCAGTCCATAACTTTTGATTATTACAAAATAATTGGATGTCACTAATATTCTTTGAAGAGATTATTTCAAGAAATTAGAACAAAAACAAGGTCAAAGACTTGAAGGTAAAACAGGATCAAAAGATTGGCAAATTGCTGAAATAGCTGTCGGACGCACAAAAGGACCATATCGGACGGCGGACAACCATTGAGTAACTTTGGACGCATGAAGAACTCACACTCGGACGTCTGAAGATAATAAGCCAAGTCTTCTATGATCATTGACCTCGATCGGACACTCAATACCTCAGTACCGGATGTCCGACAAACGTTGCGGTACTTCGGACGCAATACACTGTGAGTACCGGACGTCCGAAAGAAATAAGGAAGGATATACAAAGTTTACATCTTACCTTCGGATGTATATTGTGGAAGGACCGGACGTCCTAAGAATCTCAAGAAGATGTCCTGAACTCACTGTCTTCGTTCGGACGCAGAAAATCAGAGTACCGGACATCCGACACCACCAACGGTTAGTTGACTCTTCAACTGCCCTCTATCCGTTGACAGCATTAATTGAAGACTTTTTGGTCCCCTAAAAATAGTGAATAATCAACTACTTCAGGATTAACGTTTACACTTTAAGTTTACATCAGATCTTGAGTGATTCAAGTGCAAGAATACTCCAAAAAGAAGATTTGTACTCTTAGTTGTGTAATCTTCATTTAGCTTTTCAAGTGTGATTCAGTTTCTTCAATAGTGTAGCCTTGTGAGGGTTATCCGAGTGATTGTAAAACTTCCTTACTTGATCAAGTGAGACTTGAGGCAAGGAGGAAGAGATCCTTCCTTTGTACACAAGAGATTGATTGCAAATTGATCAACTTGAAGAAGCTTGGTATATAAAGTGATATTCAAACTTAAGTCAAGTTTGAAACTTGGTTTGCCTTTCTATCCCTTTACTTACTGTTTTGCAATATATATTGCTTATTTCTTCTTCTCACAAATCACCTGTGCTAGTCCGTTAATTGTTTCTTTGTGAGGACCTTTAGGAAAAGAAAGCAAACTCTAGAAAAAGTGACTCATATCTCGGCTAGTTTTTAAAGAACCTAATTCACCCCCCTCTTAGGTTGTCTTCGATCCTTAGAATTGGTATCAGAGCTTGGTCTCCTAGAGATTAAACTCAATCGACTTGGGAGTAAAAATGACAACCAACAATGCCATGTTCTTTGAGGGACAATCTGTCACTAGACCTCCAATATTCAATGGGTCAAACTATATGAGTTGGAAGGAGAGGATGATCATTTTCTTACAATCTATTGATATTGAGTTATGGTTTATCGTTAATGAGGGTCCATATAATGCTTCTATTATTGATAATAATACTCATAGGCCGAAACCAAAAATAAGAAGTGAGTTGACTGCTGAAGATAGAACTCATCTTACTATAAATGCCAAGGCTATGAATGTATTATATAGTGCTCTAGATTCAAATAAGTCCATTAGAGTCAAAGGTTGCAGATCTGCAAAAGAAATTTGGGACAGACTTAGAGAAATCCATGAAGGAAGCGAGAATGTGAGAGAACAAAAGAAGTCCATTCTGGTCACTAAGTATGAATCCTTTATGATGGAACCTCATGAAAATATTGACAAGATGTACTGCAGATTCAATGATCTTATCAAGGATTTAGAAGTGCTTGAGAAGAACTACTCTCTAGGTGAGAAAAACAGAAAAATTCTGAATGTCTTATCAAAGGATTGGGAGAGTAAAGTGACTGTCATAGAGGAAGCTAAAGATCTAAATACCCTACCTATTTAATCTCTTATTAATTCTCTAATCTCTTATGAGCTGAAACTTAAATCCAAGGTGCAGGAAGAAGAAGACACAAAGGTGAGGAGGAGTATTGCTTTGAAAGCTTCACA